TTTTTGGGAAAGGGGCCTGAAATGAACCCCAAAAGGGACTGAGGGGGCTTGCAGCAGGAGAGCACAGTTGATGCATTCACTGGTATAAGCAGGAGCTGTTTTTTCTGACATTGTATTGTTTATTTTGAGCAGGTTCTAGGAGCAGTTTGCAGCTCATTCCCCATCTCTTGATGGGCCTACACAGTAAATTATCTGTAGTCATTAGCAAGTGGGCTGCTTCCTCCTTCAGGCACAATTAGTGGGCAGGGTCCGGAAAAATGTTCCTCTATCTCATTTCCTTCACAGGATGCACTGGAGAGCCTGGCGCTGGAGGCAGGGCACAGCGACCTTCCCTGTTCCTCAGGGTAGGAGCATCCTCCCTCCCTCCCTCCCTCTGATGGTCTCCAGGGACTGCCGGGGGTGGGCAAGGTGAAACCTCAGCCTTCAGGTCAGTGAGGCTGAACCATCAAAGGCTCGGGGACAGCTGATTTAGAGTTTCTTCTTAGTCAACGCAGGGCTTGCCCTGCCTGTGAGCCCCATCCTTACGTGGTGCCCAGTCACAGGTGATTGAGGGAGTCACAAATCGTGTAAGCAATGAAGAGCAGCTCCCTGTTCCCGGCCCCTGCCAAGAGCAGGGCACCTGGCTGTGGTTCAGCAGCTCCCTGGAGCACAGCCCGCTGCCAGGGAGTGATGCCATCCTTGGTGGCTCTGCCACAGCTCCCTGAAGTCCCGAGCAGAGCTGGTCGTGCCCATCACCTCCTGTCGGCCCACGCTTCCAGGTGGGAGAAGGCCTTGGTGGAGCAGCAGCTCTCCAGAGGGCTGAAAGGCCAAGTGAGGGGGAGCTTTGGATTTACACTCGGGAAAACTGGAATAAATCAAAGCAATTAAAGTGCAAATGAAGCTTTAAGCAATGCAGCATCCTAATTACCTGGGAAGCGCGTTGTGTATACTTCTGTCTCACTCCCTTTTTTAAAATAGACAGGATCCAAATTACATAAATAATTTAAATTAATTTGCCAGGTAGAGCTGGGCTTTGGGAAGCGCCTGCTGGCATTAATGACGATGTTTTGCCAGTGGCTCCAGGAGCCCTCCGGGCTGTCTGCAGCTGTGGCTCCCCGGACTGGGAGATGGGCTTTGGTGTGCGGATCCTGCATCCCACGGCTGCTGTGCCGGGAGGGGCTTGGCAGGGGCAGGAGAGGAGGGCTCTGTGATGGGCGGCCGGAAGGGGCCGAGCCAGCGGTAATTAATCACCGCAATTAGCCGCCGGCATCGCAGGCAAAAGCACAGTTTGGTTTTCTTCCAGACTGCCTGGGCTGTTGGTGGAGCGAGGCTGTGAGCGCACGTCCTTGGGTAACCGCGAGTGCTTTACAGCGTCCGGGAGAGCCGGGAAAAAGAGGTGCAACCAAGAAGTAACTTCTCAGAGTAGAGGCACCAGAGGAATAGGGCAAGGGCTGGCTGCACCAATGCTTCTCCTTTCCCTCGGTGCCAGGGGAAGCAGGGCAGCGGTGAGAGTGCAAGCCCTGCCCTTCAGCCGGTTTTGGACCCATCTGCAGGACCCCTGAGTCTCTCCAGGAAGTCAGCAGCCTGCTCCATTCCCACTGAAGCCTCTCCCATCCTGCAGGGAAGCTGGGAAAGGGCAGGCTGGGCTGGGAAATGGGGTGTCCCCAAGACACCACAGAGATGGAGAGGGGACAGGCTGCTGCTCCCCATTCCCATTCCGTGCTGCTGGCCTTCACTGGTGGGGCTGGATGCTGGCCTTGGGCTCTGCCTTGTCAGCTGGTGACACACTGAGTGTCACTGAGGTCATTTGCTAACTCCAGTGTAATGGAGCTGTTTGAGTAGGGTAGAAGTAGAGGAGAATAAGCAATTAGGGATAGAATTTTGTCCTGGTAAGGAGGCCTGTAGTTGCCAAGACTGAAGCATCGCTTCATCACCTGCTTGTGGGAGTCCTGGCACCAAGAGGGATGCCAAAGCTGTTAGATCCCTTCTCTAGGGTGCTGCCAGCCTGGCTCACTGACATCTATAGCACTCCAAACTCATTATGTTCAGGTGGGCTGCCTTTTATTTACAAGAATTTCTGTGGGAAGGAAATTTTGTGAATACTTGTCTAAACAAATATTTGCCTCAGATGTGCTCTTGTGGCTGTCTGACATGGTTGTTGTCTTGTTTACTCAGCACAGTTCTCAGGCAGTTTGTGGATGTACTGTCCAATGCAGTCATTTAAAAGTTCCCAAGTAATGGTTGTTTAAAAACGACCTGCTTTTCTCCAGTGTCCTCCCAGAAGAGTTTTATGTGCCCCCTCCCGTACAGGCTGGTCAAGCATCGCTCACACGGGCAAGCTCTGCTCCATGGATCTGCAAAGGACTCCGTATTTCCATACAGCACCAGGGCTGCGAGGGATGGGGAAAACACCAGCTCTTGCAAAATCAGGAGAAGAGCTTGCACTGCAGCAAGTGCTTGGAAACAATTTGGAAAAGGCAAGAGGGGTGCTCACCCTGGGCAGTGCGTGATTTGACCGGGGTGGGGGAAGCAGCGCCCGAGTCCTGTGACAGTCCCTTCCTGCCCTCTGAAAGGTCACCACCACAAAAGTTTGTCAAACCCAGCCCGGGCTGCCGTGAGCCCTTCAGGAGCAGACACCGGAGAAGGATCTGCCATTTGAGCCTATTTTTTTTGCAGAAAACGATCTGCTCAGCAGCGGTGCTTAAAGACCTGTTGGCGGCCGCTGTAAACGCTGTGAATTAACACCTTTCGGTGCCCTGGGTGTTCACCAGGAGGCAGGAAAAGGCTTTCTGTCTGGTTTCATGTAGGCATGAGGAGAGAGCTGTGCCTTCCCCCGCTCCCCAGACACAGGGCACAGGGGCAGGATTTACAAGCAAGCTGCTTCCGAACCTTACCGTGCTGTGATGCAACCCACTGCCCTTTAAATAACCGCTGTCTTTTGAAGGCATAAATACTTACAGGGTGAAAGAAAAAAAAAGCCACCATTCCCTCCTGAAAGACCTAATTTATCTGGAATTATCTATCCTTGGCTATAAATCCTCTGTAAAACTTGGCATGAGTTTTGAGGCAGTTACAGCAGTGACCGTATATTTTTATCCGAAACCTCGAGAAAGAACAAATTGAAGCCCCAAACAGCAGCTCTGAGTGGTTGCAGAGCCACGCTGACGAGCGGGGCTGCAGGGACTGCCTTGCCTGAGAAGCGCCATGCAGCATTTCTCATGAATTCCCACCACACCTTTTTGGTTTCTTTCCGAGCAATTCCTGCTTGAGAAATTATTTTAACATGCCAGTTTTCCTGGCTGGCAGCAGACTCAGAAGAGCATCCCGAGGGTCCTGGCTGGAGCAGCAGCCTTAAGTCCCTTGCTAATGTTTGCTGAGCACCACATCCTTTGTAAACCAGGACACAGGTACGCACATCCCTGCTGTCCACCTACTCAGGCACAAGGCAGGACTGGCTCTGACTCATCTGGCTTCCCACTTTATTTTCTTTGTTCTTCTTGTCTCCCTGAAGCAGGAGAGAATCCAGCTCTTATTTAAATGAGACCCTATAAACATAAGCAGCTGCAAAGTAGGGCAGGTTTTTAATGGCTTACACCTCCTTGGGCTTGGCTTCTTCCCTTCAGCCTCTGTAGCTGTGATCATGGTCTGTCTCCACGTGAGCAGTTCAGCGGCATTTTTGCATGCACCTGTTCATTTCTGGGAGTGCATTCCCTGCACAGAAAAGATTAACAAATTAATTGGGCAAGCACAGCATGACGAGGAGGAGCTCTGTCCACAAGCAGCTGAACCAGTCCAGAAAGCTGCTGGGACATCATGACACCCTGGGGACAGCTTTGCCCTGTCCCCCATGTGCCAGCCCTGACCTCACCCCTGCTTGAGGAGGGATGTGCCTCACACCCTGAGAGCTGCTCAGTAACTGGTAGTATCCCATGGCTGTAGTTAAGCAGAACTGTCCAGGCTGGGATCTCTGCAGTAACTTGTGGGTCTGTGTCCCTGCTGTAGCAGGGACTCCTGGAGCTGGGAATGCTGTGAAGCTGTGTGTCCCCACACACAGGTTTGTGGTTTTGTGTCGCTGCTGCTGGAACAGCAGAAGCGCAGAGGGTTGTGAAGTGAGCTGAGGAGTTCTGGACAGGCAGGGTCCATGGAAGGGCAGCAGGCTGCATTTCCCTGCAGGACAGCCCGTGCTGTGTTTGTGCTCAGTGAAAAGCTGTTCTGCACCCTCACACGCAAGCCCGGTGTGTGCTGGGTGCCCCAGTGGTGGGATGGCGCCTGGTGGGAGCCCGGCTCACTCCGTGGTGTGCTGGAGCTGTGGGGGTTGTCACTGCCACCATTCCATGGTCAGCTCACAGAGGGACCCTAATGCTTGCTCTTTGCTATCTTTTGCAGGAATGGAGGGATGCGGGTACAGCTGGGAGCAGCAGGACACCAGCACAGCCCTGTGGGGATAGGTGTGAAGGTGATTCCCTGTGAGGACACAGCAGGAGTCCCCCAGACCCCAGAGGAACGTGGGATCTCACTGGGAACAGGGAGAGCTCCCCTTCTGCCCAGTAACCTGCCGTGTTTCCTGGGATCTGTATCAGGATTTGGGGCTTGGAGCCTGGAGGCGTCTTAGTGCCGTAGGATTGCTGGAGAGCCTGACAGCGATGGGGGACCCACCACCGAGGAGGGACATTCCTCCAGAAGGCCCTGCACACCTGTGAGCCCTGGCTGCTGGTGGTGGAGGGTGCCTGGGGCTGGGCTGCTCAGCCAGCCCTGGGCTGGGGGCAGAGCCACGGTGCCTGCAGGGCACAGCCCCTGAGGGGCGAAGGGCTGGCGTGGGGTCTGCAGGGGCAGCCCCAAGCCCCGGGACCGTGGGGCTGCCAGCCGAGCCGCTGCTCCTCCAGGCACCTCTTCCTGGGGTGGCGGCGGGGGACAGAGCGGCGCTCGGTCCCTGGGCTGGCCGCGGATGTGCCCCCACGCAGCGCCGGCGGGACCGCTCCCCTAGTGCCGGCGCCGAGGGACGCAGGGCCGCCCGCCTCACCATGGTGCTGCCGCCGCCCGACAAGCGCCACGTCTGCCTGACCACCATCGTCATCATGACCAGCATGGCCTTCATGGACGCCTACCTGGTAGAGCAGAACCAGGGACCCCGCAAGATCGGCGTCTGCATCATCGTGCTGGTGGGGGACATCTGCTTCCTCATCGTGCTGCGCTACGTGGCCGTGTGGGTGGGCGCCGAGGTGAAGACGGCCAAGCGGGGCTATGCCATGATCCTGTGGTTCCTCTACATCTTTGTGCTGGAGATCAAGCTGTATTTCATCTTTCAGAATTACAAAGCAGACAAGAAGAACCTGGAGACGGTGGCCAGGAAAGCTCTGACCCTGCTGCTCTCCATCTGTGTGCCGGGGCTCTACCTGGTGCTGGTGGCCTTGGACAGCATGGAGTACATACGGACCTTTCGGAAGAAAGAGGACTTGCGGGGACGCCTCTTCTGGGTGGCCCTCGACCTGCTGGATATCTTGGACATCCAGGCCAACCTGTGGGAGCCACACAGGACCGGCCTGCCCATCTGGGCAGAGGGGCTCATGTTCTTCTACTGCTACATACTCCTCCTAATCCTGCCTTGCGTGTCCCTCAGTGAGATCAGTATGCAAGGGGAGCACATTGCCCCGCAAAAAATGATGCTCTATCCCGTCCTCAGCCTGGTCACCATCAACATTGTCACCATCTTCATCCGGGCCATCAACATGATCTTGTTCCAGGACAGCAGGGTCTCTACCATCTTTATCGGCAAGAACATCATCGCGATCGCCACCAAGGCGTGCACCTTCCTGGAGTACAAGCGGCAGGTGAAGGAGTTCCCGCAGAACGCCATCGCCTTGGAGCTCCAGCAGAATTCCCTCTCGCACAACCAGACCATCCACAGCGCACAGGGCATCCCCCACGAGCCGTCGCCCACCAGCGAGATCCTGGACACATGAGGGGTCCCCAGCCCAGCGTTGGTTCAGATGGCCCCGTGCTGAGCGGAAGAGGGATGATGCTGCTTTCCTGCTGCGTGGTGCAAGCACGACAGACAAATCCCGGCAGTGAGGGCTCTTCTAGGCACAAAAACACCAACGGCGTTCTAATTGAGCTATGGAGTGTCCTCTAGACGTCTTCATCTCAGGTACAACCCTAGGAGTCCTCCAGACAAACCAAATGGACTTGCAAAGGACCTGAACCAGCTGACCCTCTCTCCCCCTCCTGCCACCATCTCCCCTCCTGAGCAAAGACTGCTAAGGTTGCAATGTCCCTTTTTAATCCCTGAGCACCTCACCTTTACTCCAAGCCTGGATCGAAGATTTTGTTACTGGAGACCTTTATACGGAGTGGGACAAGGGCATAGGGCTGCGGACTGGGGGGAGGGTGGGGCGTTTGAAGCAGTAAACCCTGTGATCGTAGATGTCTCTTATCTCCAATGGTTGTGTTTACAGTTTCCTATTTATATCGGCTCCGGGGGCTCTCAGGCTGCCCTGTGGGCCAGTGTCCTCGAGGTGGGCGAGAGCAGGGACCCTGCAGTGGGGAGTGGGGCTGGGCTGGCGTGGCTGCCCTGGCCCGGGCTGAGGAGGACTGAGCCTCCACCAGCGCCCTGCACCAACCCTGCCGGGAGCAATATCTATGAGCTAGAGCTAATCTAATGCTGGTGTTTTATGTATTTCATTCACTCCAAACGACTCAGCACAATATTTCTATTTTTAGAAGCGTCCCTCTTTCTCTCTCTCCTGCCATCGAGAGCCTCCCTGCCTGCAGCAGCCCAAGCAGCCTCCCCAGCCCCAGCACTGCTGCTGGCAGGCAGGGGCACCCAGGAGGGATTAGCAGCAAGGATGGCCAGGATGCATTTCACTCTGGCATCAAGCATTTATAAAGAGGGCTGCTTTCCACAGCTACTATATTTTTAAAATAAATATTAAAAAAAAAGGGAAAAAAAAAAGAAAACCGAAACAAAAAAAACCCCACCAAACCCCAAAAATGAGCTGGGAAGAATGTGCTGCCCCGGGCAAGTGGCTGGGCTTGGGGAGGAGCTGGGCTGGGGTCTCCTCTGCAGGCATGGGTGGTACTGAGGGGCTCAGCCACGGGCAGCAGGGTGGGAGGCGAGGGCCAGCCGGACAATAAAAGCCCCATGAGAGCAATGGCTTCTGGTGGTCTCTTTTCTGCCAGCGTGGGGAGGGTGGGGCTCAGCTCTCACACAGCCCAAATCACTTGTCTCCGCTTCTGCCCACCTCCCCCGGACTCCCAAGTGCCATGCCGAGGTTCTGTGCCCTGCACTCGCTGAGCAGTGGGCCCAGAAAGGACAGAAATCATTCCTCCAGCTGCAGTGCTGCCCCAGGGCTGGGTGCGTCTCAGCTGCCTGACCCTGGGGGGAGGCACAAGGACACAGGCAGAAAACCTGCATCTCAAACATGCTGAAATGGGGTATTTTTGCTTTTTCTAAACAAAATGTTGCATTTTGAGGAGATGGAATAAAATGCCTGGTGCTGTTTACATTTCTCTTCCACATTTTCCCCTGGCTCTGCTTACTGAATTTGACCTAAATCCACAAATCATTTCAGTTTCCATCTTTGCAGCCCATCACAATCTGTCCAGAACATTTCAGCCATCCCTGATGCAGACTTCCAATTTTAGGACCAGGCAATTGCAGTCTTGCTTGGCCACCGTGTCACCCAGGGATAACTCTAATGTTAATTAAATCCACTGAGAAATAAAACAATATCTTTGCCAACAAAAGTGAGTTTGCAACAGATTTAGCCAATTGGAAAAGTTTCTTCCCCCTTTCCCTCAGGAAACATGAGAGGAACTGGGCAGGTGATTTAAAAGGTATTAGCAGAAATTAATTAAATTGCTAAATTATTCTGGAATACCTGTGGAATTACATATTACATCTCTGCTGGTTCCTTTAAAATACATGTGATTAGCATCAGTGCAATTAACTCCCAAGTCTCTAATAACATTCTGCTGCTCTTTTAGGTAATTAATTTATGAGCCTTTGTTTTATAGTTCTTCCCCAGAAGTGAGCAGAGGAGAACCTTCAGGGAAACCTCTGGCACGGTGCTGTGAGCACTGGAGGCTGGGATGTGCCAGCTGAGGCAGTGCCCGGCATCAGACTGAACCCTGATGCAGAGATCTTTGATCCTGGGGATAAAATCAGTGATCTGGTGGGTTACTCTGAGGGGTTGGGTGTATTTTTCTTCTGTTTCACCCCGATAGCTAGCCCTGCATCCTTACCTTATACTGGAGTACATTAATATTCCCTTGAGCCTGAGCTGTTGCTAAGGTTTCTTGAGGGTGTCTGGCTGTGCTCCCTGTAGGCAACCTGCATGGGAAGGGAATATTTCTTTATCCTCCTGCTCCCACAACTTCCAAGAAGGTCTAGGAGTCCTCACAAGTTCTTCTTGAGGTTGCAAGACCCTGCTTTCTACTGCTGACATGAGGTTTTTGTCTTTGTGGAGTGGGGTGTCCCTGTGGAAGGGCTGCATTAGGAGCAGGAGCAGAGGTCCTGGAGGGGATGCTCACCTGGGATGCACCACATCACTCCCAAAAAGCTGCAGGTGCTCGAAGCCCACTCTGGTGAAGGGAGAGAGAAGAGGCTTGTCTCATCTTGTGCTGTTCATCGTCCCCAGGGCTCTGTGTGCTCGGCGTTCTGCCTCAGCAGCACAGCCCTTCCTCTTCAAAGCCACCTTGAAGTAGGAGTGATGAGCTGGCCCCTCCTCAGCAGCTGCTGGGGGGCAGGGAGGGCTGAGCTGGGAAAGACAGAGAGCCAGAGCAGCCAGCAGAGCCCCGGGGGCATGGCCAGAGCCCAGCAATGGCAGCACTGAAGCTCTTCTGCTGAGGGTGATGCCTCTTCCCCAAAATCCAGCCCTGCCAGCACAGCCGACTCTTGGGAGCCACAGATCCAGCAGGAGGGGTGGCACAGTGGCTGGGCAGGGTGGCTGGCTCCCAGCCTGGCTGGTTGTTAGGGGAAGGTGATATTTTGCTGTGGGCAATGAGAACTAAAGGAAACAATTAAAACTAAATAGGCTGGAACCGAGCAATTTTTCAGCTTTCCACTGAGAAGAAAAAAAGCTCCTTTGTGAACAGTGAAATACTCCTGACAAGCTGTAGGATCCCACCTGATGAAGCAAAAACTGCACAATTACAATGCAGAAGGGATCCCTGTGCTCCAGTGGAAGTCCACGGGGGTGGTGTCCTTTGCTGCCATCAGGACCAGGCCACGAGCACAAGGCAGCCATGCCCTTGGCAGGGGAGCCTGGTGGTGCTTTGGGGACAAGGCTGGTGCTGTCCTACCTATTACCAACCCACTGGTCAGTGCTGAGGCTACTCCTCCTTCCAAGTGACAGCCCCTGGAGGAGCCAGGTCCACCCTGTAGCTTGCAGGGCACATCAGAGTCATGGCAACCTCTGGAGATGAAAACCTGAGCCTCCCAAGCCTTTCTGTCAGGCTGGTGCCAAGGGTCAGCGAACTGGCCACTCTTGCACAGTCACAGAGGAGCTGATATCGCCTGCTGGCCAGTGGCAAAGGGCTGGGCTGCACCCACTCGTGTCCCAGGCATTGTGGCACTGCAAAACAGGAGCTCCCAAGCGCAGCCAAGCAAGCCATGCAGGCTGTCAGAGTGCATCTAGCCCAGCCAAGCCCACCTGGCTCCTGTCCTGCTGTGCAAAATTTGGGCAAAGTGGCAGCAAAGGGCTGGAAGTGCTGCATGCCTGACACTGTCTGTGGAAAGAGCCCAGACCCAGCTGCTGTGCCCGAACAGCCTCGTGGTACCTGCGGTGCCTCCTCGCTGCCTTGGGCTGAGCCACAGCTTTTTACCCTCCTGGAGCTCTCATGCAGCCCGAGGCAGCCCAAGCCCCTTGCTGCTGCATTCAGCTGTGTGCTGGGGGCCGTGCTGAGCTCCCAGCTTTTCTTTCCCAAGGTCCTGGCAGCTCCCACATGTCCTGCTTGTCCTCACCTCCTTTTGGCAGGTAAAAATCTCCGGTGCTGCAGCCTCGGTGTAAGGCTGGAGGAGGGTTCAGTGACTGAGCTGAAAGTGCCCCGTGGTTCTGCCACCAGATTCTCCATGTGAGCAGGGCTCTGGTGACTTTGCAGGGCCCAAAAGGGCTTGGGAGGATTTGGGAGAAGAAATCCACCCAGCAGGGTGACGCAGCACGAGGATGGACTCTTTGCAGTGCCACCCGCTGCAGCTCCATGCACTGTCACCTGGAACCATATGTAAATAAGGAATATTTTTTCCCTTTGGATCAGTCTGGGTTAATTTGATGAGCAGAGGCAGACTGAACTTTCATGCCAATAACTGTTTTCTTCCTGCTTGTCCCAGATTTGCTTCACTTTTTTAGCTCAGGCCAATGTTGCTGTAGAAAACACAGGGCAGGTGTCAAGAGCACCTTGACAGCAATTCTCATCCTCCTAAATTCCTCCTGCCCAGGAACTGTGGCAAAAGTTTGAGTTTCACACCAATTTAATCCTAATTGAATGCCCTGAATTCTTCAGTTGTGTCTGGTTTTTAGGTCTGGCATCCTTGAAGAACAATATCCATTTAAATTGCTGATTTGGGCTTGCTCATTTAATTTCATCTTAATAAAGATTTTATGTGGTTTTGACATATTCAGTGTCTCGAGTGTATTGACAAGGCAGTCTGAAGAAGCGTTATGACCATAATGGCTCAAAAAGCATTAAAAAGACCCTGGCAAGGTTTATTGATTGCCCTCTTTTACAGCTGCTTGAGGACAAAGGACCAGTCATATGGAAGAGGGAATACTGTGTTTTGTTTTTATTTGAGCTTCCCGATGTTACAACAAAAGGCATTTGCAAACAAATATCTGCAAATTCTTCACCGGGACATGGAGAAGCAGCAGTCCTGTTGCTGGGGTTTGTTAGAGGGCGGTTTTAAAGGAAAAACCCTGCAGATAGCAGAAAAGTCATCTCCACTGAAGGGATGTCAAGGTGTAAATAAATAAGTGATGAAGATGCCCAGGTCCTCCCCACTGGTGTATCCCAGAGGAAAAGCCCTCCTGCCTCACTGGGGACTTGCTGTAGCATGTTGGTGGAAAGGATAAATCATCTGCCAAAATCTGTCCTCAGAGCTGTGGATTTCCACATGGGCTCTTCCCAGCTAATGTACCCCAATGTCTGTGTGAAAACACAAATGCATTGTGGGCATTTTATGCTGGGTGCAACAGAGATAAAAATTAGTAGAATGATCCGTTGGCAAGGTAGGAATGAGCTCGAGACGGGAGAGCAGAATAATTATCTCCTCACGGCCAACATTTGCATGCTGAGCTGCACTCAAGAGGCCCTTGCACAGCCACCTGCCCAATTGCCGATGGGAGGATTTTTTTTAAAGACAGTTTACTGATTGCAGCCCATTTCCTCCAGCCCAGGCAGGGGTGCCTTCTGTTCGAGGGAGCCGTGCACCGAGGAAGAAAACCTCGACAGCAGCAGCTCTGTCTGTGGTGCCAGGAGATGGGCTGCTGGGTGGTGCCAGGAGATGAGATGGGCTGCTGGGTGGTGCCAGGAGATGTGCTGCTGGGTGGTGCCAGGAGATGTGCTGCTGGGTGGTGCCAGGCTGGCTCTGCCCTCTGAGCAGCCCAGCGTGCAGGTGCAAGAGCCAGAACTTGGCTTCTTGGCTTCACAGGGAAGGAGCAAGGAACTTCCTCGTGTCCCAAGAAGCAAATGAACAAAACACATCCAGTGGTGACCAGCACAGACTGAGGCCCAAGGAAGGACCTTCCTTCTCTGCCCATGAAG